TTCTGGCCGTGATGACTTCTCGGCCCCTTTTATGCAGTTGGCTAACTTCTCCATTCTTCTCTTTTTCCGATGGCTTCCCCACTGATCGATGCAATTCTGGTGGTTAAGCGACGCAACGCCGATTCGCCTCATCCCATGGACTTGGTGGAGAAATAGGATAAAAAAGGACACAACGATGACAACGAAGATTCTTAGTCTTGCCGCACGTAACGCTTCCCCGAAACGAGAAAATTTACAAGAAACAGGCTAGAAGATGGCGATACACAGAACCGAGTGGTAACGGTAAGAAATGTATACGACTTCAGTGGACCGAAACATTTCTTTGCCTATTATAAATAATTCCATACTCCCATTTCCCTTTTATACTTCGTTTCATCTTCATTTTTTCTTCATCATTTTCTCATTATCTTTTAATACATTAATAAAAATATGATCAAAATCACGAGTTTTTCATACTTATCACTGCGGACGAAATACCCCGGGGAATGATCAGGAGGATAGGGGGATACTGCTGCTGCTGATCATCGACTAGTTTTTTCATTCTTTCGCCAGCGGCACACACTTATTTGCTCTTTTTGACAATTTTGTGTTCTTTCAGCATGCATTGCTACTGCTCAGTTAGTTTTAATTAGGTTGTTTTGAAATTAAACCGTATATGGAAGTGAGGGGCAGAACCCCCGCATCGCTGTTTTTGAATAATTTCGAGCACCATTTCTCTGCTAAGCTGACTGTAGCATGCAAGTAATGCTGAGAACTTAAATAGAGTGGGCATTGGAGCGAACTGTGTATGAATGGATGTAGAAATATAGCTGGTGTGGGGGAAAAAACTTTCCGGAATTTTCTTTTTATGGGCGAGCACTAAAATCGTTTTCGAGTGAAAAATCTGAAACCCCTCATGCGCTTTTACGCTTTGTGATCAGATTTTTGCGAAAAAAAACCAAAGCTGACTGAATTATTCTGGCCTTTGTAAGTCTGTTTTTCAGCTATACATAACTCGCGTGGAGGGTGATTTCTCGGCCGATGTTTTCTTCCCGTCCGTGGATTACAGTCGTTTCACGAAGAACGATGAGCCGGAGGAGGTGCAGGAAGAGCATGGCATCAAATATCGTTACGAAATTTACACAAATAAATCCAGCTTATAAGCGTCCTTCATTTGGTAAAACTTTATATAGCAGCACTAAATTGCACCACGCGAACCGAGGACTGCGACGGTCTGCAGTTGTTGAAATCAGAAGTGTCCAGCAATGTACTAATGATCAGTTTTTAGAGTACCGATGTGAGTTTAGTTGTTGTTGTTGCGCACTTTTGAATGCTTTTTCATGACTACTGCTGCGGCAGAAAATAGAGGAATAGAAGGATTTCACTTGAATGTCATGTGTGTATGAAGACATTTTTTATAGCTCAGTCCCTGTGTTTCATTCCTTAGCTGTATACACAGACCGAACTGTACGTGCAGGTAGCAGTGGGAATCATCAGTACAGCCTTCACAACGTCCTACTTAAAATCAGCATGCTTCTGGCGTGTATTTTTGTGCTTTTCCAATGATTCTTCTCCTTTGAAGTGATCCTTGCACTGTTTCCTTACTACTTCGCTTTTCCTGCTTGCATCTCCTCACTTTGCTCCACACTAGCTATTATCACGTAAATTTTTAACCGGAAGACATCCCTTGTACTTCGAGAATTTGTTTTTACATGAAATCTCGCAGTGGTGTATGCGTCATCATAACTGTGGTAATGGTGAGGTCCAGTTATGGTAACGGTAAGAAATGTATACGACTTAGTGGACCGAAACATATCTATTACAAATATTGCCTTAGTTCCCTTTCCCCATCTTACTTCGCTTTTTCTTCCTTTTCTTCACTTCCTTATCTTTTTACTTCATTATTTTCTCTTATACCTTTAATAGGCGCACCAGCAGCGTATGTCTTATTTTGACAAACTTGAAAAGGGCAAGGATCGGACAATGCCTTTTAATACTCAATTTTCTGAATAGCTGTGTTGTGATGATATACAAATCATCTCTCGGACATATCGTGCCTGTTTTGTTTGCTGTTGTTTGCTAATTTCGTTTCACTGCGAATCATTCACTGCTTTGTGTTAGGAGAAATCGAAAGCAGGCTTGCTTTTGGCAGTCTTCCATTTCAGTTGTTTTTTTTTTTTTTTTTCTGAGACGTGTAGGAACTGTTGTCTTTTCCGCTTCAACGACTGTTGTGTTTTGTTGTTTCTCAGCGCTTCACTTTCGAATTTTGCATATTATTTTGCAGTTGAATTAGTCTTTCGGTGTTCAGCATTTGAATTTGCGACATTTTTACAAATTGTCCAGAATAAAATCTTTTTTCACAATTTTCTTCGATGATTTTTTGCTCGAATTTGTCGTTCCAGTCGATCAAATATCGTATCCAGAAGGACCGAGTAATTGATGCATGTTACGGGGTGGTTGATTTTGACTAGCAGCTGTAACTCCAACTACTTCCTCAATGCTTCCTTCTCACATAGATGGAGGGGGAGGGGGGGTGAATTTTTTCCGATTTTGATGCTGGTTTGGCAAGTTCTTGTCTTCTTTTTTTGTCGTGGTTTGGCAAATTTTGCGCACTTTTTATTAATTGGCAAACTTCACAATTTTGTTTTTCCCGGAATATGAAATGAGGATGGGTTTTTGAGGAGTAATTGTGAGAGTCGGTACGGGTAGACTTAAGGATCCATAGAAGGTAACTGTGGGATACTGAGTCGAAGGCCTTTAGGATATCGACCCAAACCATGCTCAGGGGTTTTTTCAACTGCGACATTGTGTCCAGCACCACCGCACGATCGAGAACATGGGCTACTACTGGCACCATCGTAAAGTATCACAATCAGCGCCTCATCTTGGGAATAGCGGTTCATTTAAATGTACTTTTTTTTCTCTATTACAGGCAGCAGCAAGATCACCGTACAACAGTTTGATCTCTCTGCCGCTCATTGGGTACATACTGAAGGAGTCAGCGTAAGTTTTCCCGTTAACATGTATGAAATGGAATTTTTGCAAACTTTTTTTTTTGACATCTTAAAATCAAAAAATCAATTTCCTTTTGGAAAAAATCAATTTTCGAGTGAAATCCCGTGTGAAGTTTTTTTTCCTTTGTAAAAATTAAGCACCACACTTTGTTTTATGAAATTTCACTCTGTGTGCAGATTAGGGGCGAAAATAATGGGAAAATTAGAATTTGTGTTTTTTTGAGAAATTAGAATTGGTGTTTTTACTTAGCTGGAGAACGGCTCATCGAAGTATTTTAGTACTTTTCAAGAATATTAAAGCGACAGAGAACAATCGTTTTGGGTAAATGGTATTGCTGGGGATGGTGCACCACATGTCCGGACACTGGCCCAGGCCAGGTTTTTCGATTCCGATCCCTATTCCTCCTGTAACCCCTCCCCCTAGTGCCTCCTGTTTGATATGTTTGAACATTTTTAGAGGAAAAGTGAGAAAACAGACCGAACTAAGTGAGAAGCCAAGTGAAATGCTTCACTTTCGATGAATTAGAAAAGGCAAAAAAAGGGTAGGGCGAATCGATGATGGTACAACGTACCGCGATGATTGTCTGGTCTGGAAATTAAAATCATTTGTTGTATGGCATGCGATTTTTGAGAATTATATGCGTTTCTGCTGTAAATCCATTAGTTTCCTGCTCCATTTTTGCAGCTTTCTGGTCGAAATGGTCGGGAGGAAGAAGAGAAGCACCAGTACAAGGAACCACTTCAACGATGTTAGACTTTCCACATGCATTTCTTCCTCCCCGTCTCATATACATATTGTTTTATTGTGAATGCAGCTGCGCCAAGTGCGGTCTTCTCTAGCTTTTCATGCATATTTTATGCCCTATTAACAGTTGCATAAAATGCATTATTGTCAGTCTGTGTGTATGTGTGTGTGTGTGTATGTGTGTACGTGTGTGTGTACGTGTGTATGTCCGAGTGCGTTGTACCTCCGTTTTTTCATCTCGGGAACCATAAAAA